TTTTTGTGATATTTATTTTTCTTGTCTTTGATCATGTGTCATTTTATTACCTGTTCTTTTTCTCTGTTTAGAAGTGACACACGAGATTATGCGTTAAAACAAATCGAAGGTGATTTGAATAGAACAAAAAAAAAGAATAAGAAAGAACTTATCTTAAATCTCTAATTATTTCTAGGTGTTGGTTTATCAACAAGTGCGTGTCGAGAAATTTCTGTAAGCTATTCTTGTTTAATAATAAAAATTAGTAATTTTTTTTTTATTATAGTTACTACGTGAATTAAAACATGTTAATGTTATAACATTACAACGTGTATTTCTTTCACATGCCGATCGTCGTGTTTCTTTATTACTTGATTTTGCTGAATATGATCTTTGGGTAATAGAAAATATTGAAAAATGATTTATGAAAAATTTTATTTTATTTTTAAAGCATATTATTAAATTTCATCGTTCAGCAAAACAAAATAAAAAAACTGTTACATGTGCACGTGGAATGGTAAAATCTTTACTTTATCAAATACTTGGTGGAATACATTATTTACATTCAAATTGGATACTTCATCGAGATCTTAAACCAGCTAATATTTTAGTGATGGGAGATGGAATTGAACGTGGAAGAGTTAAAATTGCAGATATGGGTTTTGCACGTTTATTTAATTCACCTTTAAAACCAATGGCAGATCTAGGTAAATATGATGTAACTTTGTTAATTATTTCGAATTAAAAACGAAACAGAAATCAATCCATATTAGACGGTATTCGAATTAAATTTCACATTAATTCTAGATCCTGTGGTTGTCACATTCTGGTATCGTGCACCTGAATTATTACTTGGCGCTCGGCATTATACAAAAGCAATTGATATTTGGGCAATAGGGTATTTATTTGAATCTATTAACAAAAGAAAAGAAAGAATTAAAACGATTTCTGTTTCTTTGAAATAGATGTATATTTGCTGAATTATTGACCTATGAACCAATATTTCATTGTAAACAAGAAGATATCAAAACAAGTACACCATATCATCATGATCAACTTGATCGAATTTTTTCCGTTATGAGTTTTCCAGCTGGTACATTATTTTAAGAAAACATTTTATTTGATCATTTATTCTTTTCTCTCTATCTCATCTTTTAAGATAAAGAATGGGAAGATATGAAAAAAATGCCAGAATATACACGTTTATCGAAAGAATTTAAAAAGAGCAAGTAAGTTTATTTTTTAACAAAAATAATTCGTTCAAAAACAAAATCTTCCTTTCTTCTAGTTATGCAAATTACAGTCTGAGTAAATATATGGATAAACATAGTGTTCGATCAGATAGTCGAGCATTTCAATTATTAACACGTTTACTCACCATTGATCCAACCAAAAGATTATCAGGTATTGATAGATTTTTATTTTGTTTAAATGATTATCCATATATATTCTTGTTTTTTCTCTTATATTAGCATTAGATGCAATGAATGATCCATATTTTAAAGAAGATCCACGACCTACTGACGAGTAAATTTTAAAAAAAATAATTTTCCAAAATTTTAATTTACATTTTGAATTATCTTTTTTTTCCAATTAAGTGTATTTGATTCTGTGCAAATTCCTTATCCTAAGCGTGAATTTATAACTGATGATGATTCATCGGATGCTGGTACACGTGTTGCTAAAACAGAACCAACGATTATGGTTAAAACAGAAGCTGCATCTGTTGTTCTTACGCAACAACAAACATCTCATGTAACTCATAGCCAACAACAATTAACAAACCAACAACAACAGCAACAGCAACAGCAGCAACAACAACAACAACAACAGCAAAATATACATATTAAACAACAACCACAACAGCATAATAATATTGTTCAACAAACACATCCTCAACAAGTATGTTAAATAGAATATATATTATGAATGGTAGTTGAATTTTTCATAGTTATTTTCTTTCAAAAGTCAGTTAATCATTCTATAGAGTCGAGCACTGAGACGGAAAAAGTCTTGAATTTTATGAGAAGAATGAATTTCTATATGAAATTAAATTGTCGAAAATATTGATTTAAATATCCTTTGTTGTTTATAACACTTATCAATATCATATTTTAAAGATTGTAGAAGAGAAAGAATTAAATAATATTCAATATGATATCTTTTTCTTTAGATGAAGTTAATGCAGCAACATCCATCTAATATAAATGTTCAAGGACAACCACCTGAAAAGAAATTACGTGCAACGGGTAGTTATGCAGGTGGTGATCCTTCAAATTATGATTATCAAGTAAATACACATATCTTTCTACTCTTATTTAAATAATATAATTCATATTTTTTAGCGAAATCCAAATCAGCAACAGCAACAGCAACAAATGTATCAACAACAACAGCAGCAACAACAACGATTTTAGTTTGTTCATCTATATCTATCTTTTTTCTCGCTCTATATATAAATATATATATATATATATGTATAAATAATATTTATTTATTCGTGTATTTCTTTGTTGAATAATTATTTGTAAGCGATTGTTTTTTTTTCATTCTCCGTGTTATTATTATTAATTTAGCTAAATATATACAACAAAAAAATAAAGCCATACATATTCATTGTATTTGTTATTGTAGATGACAAGTGTAACAAATTTTCGTTATACAGCCTCTCCAATAATTATTATTCTAGGGGCAACAGCTGTTGGAAAAACGAAATTATCTGTTTATTTATCTAAACGTTTTAATGGAGAAATTATTAATGCTGATTCAATGCAAATATATGAAGGTTTAGATATTGCAACCGCTAAACCAACAATTGAAGAACGAGATAATGTTCCTCATCATTTATTTAGTTATGTAAATCCACTTGATCGTTCACATACTGTTGTAGATTATAGAAATGATGCATTACCAATTGTAAGTTTATTAAGATTGTCATTTTTACGTAAAAAAGGCTCATTCGAAATTGAAAAACAAATATACAGTTATTCATTGTATATCAATTCTTTTCATAGGTTGAATCAGTTTTATCTCGATCACATCTTCCATTTATTGTCGGTGGAACAAACTATTATATTGAATCCTTACTCTTTCATCTTAATCCACCAGAACCAGTGACGGAAAGTTCATCTAATGAACAATTCTCTTCACTAGCATCGGATTTATCAGATGAAAACCTATCGAAATTAACATCTGTACAATTACATGAACTATTAGCTAAAATTGATAAACCTACAAGTATTCGAAAACATCCAAATGAAGAACGTAAAATTCGAAGGTACGATTATACTGATTGGAAAGAAAAAAACAGCCCATAGCTCTAAAAAAGAACAGAAAAAAAATTCCTATTGGATAATTATGACTGATTTGACGTATGAATAATAAATAATCGAAGTGAAAACGAAGGAGTACGTAGAAAAGTACAAGTATAATTTATATGAATCAAAATGAAACTTGACCAAATCATACGAATCATAAATAATTATTCTTTTTATGATTTATTCTAATAAAAAATATTTAGAGCTATTGAATTTTATCGTGAATCGGGTGGTATTCCACTAAGTGAAGCATTAAAAAAACAACATGCAGAAAGTGGATTTTCATATCGTGGAACATTTCGTTTTCAACGTTGTTGTCTCTTATGGTTAACATGTCAAAAAGAAGGTATATTTTAAAGAAATAAAGATATATTTGATAATTTTTTTCTTAAAATTATCATAGAATTAGAAAACCGTATTAATAATCGAGTAAAATCAATGCTTGACCGTGGTCTTATTGATGAATTATCAAAATTTCATGATGAGTATAATCAAACATGTAAAGAATCAGAACAATCATACGATTATACTCGTGGAGTATTTCAAGCAATTGGTTTCAAAGAATTTCATGATTATTTACTTTTATCAGAAGATGAACGAAAAAGTGAACATGGTGAAAAAGTATTTGCTAATGGTAGGTAAGTAAAATACACTGAAAAAAGGGTTTCGATGTTTGTAACGAATTCGAAACCCGTTTTTGGCTTCTGTGATGTATAGACATAGATTGTTATTGTTCGTTTTGTTTTCGTTCTTTCTTTCCTTTCTTTCGTTCTCTTGTATTCACTAGGATTATTTCCTCTTGAAATAATCCCTGTTCTTGTTGAGGAATATTCCCTTTTGAAATATTCCTTCTTCTGCGCATATTCCATCATATATATAGACGTGTGAGAAGATTAATTTTCGATCATTTACTTATTCTTTTGTTTTAGCTATTGAACGTCTTAAACTTTCTACGAGACAATATTCAAAATATCAAGAAAAATGGCTTCGAATGCGTCTTCTTCAACGTAAATTATTTTTTTTAAGAAAATATAATTTCTTATGATATTTAAAATATTTATTTTAAAGGTGTTGAAGAACATTCACCTGATGTTTATGAACTTGATACAACTAATTTATCATCATGGACAGAGAATGTTGAACAACGAGCAGAAGCTATTATTGATGCTTTTTTAAAAGTAGTTTTTATGGTTTCATTTTTTCAGAAATCTAATAATCTTGATTCAGAATGAAACTATTCCATTCGATGCTCTTCCAAAAAAACAGATCGATGAACCCGTATATGAACAAAATACATGTTCAACATGTGACCGAGTCTTTCATTTAAAATCCCAATGGAATGGTAAATAATATATAAAATTAATTTTTTTTAAGCATATTTTTATGTTTGATATATATCTATGTGTATATAGATCATCTAAAAAGTAAACAACATAAACGAATGGTTCGTTCAACAGATCGAGCAACATTTCGTCGAAAATTAGATAATGCTCTACCATCATTAATGAACACACTTGATATATTAGAAAAGAAAAAGATGTCGGAAAATGAAGAAGAGAGTGACGAATTTGATATAGATAAAGAAATATAAACAACATAAAAAAAACGAATTTATTGATTTTTGTTATTGTTTATTGTTTATTTTGTTTCTAGAAAAGAAAAATATTTTGTTTTTAAAAAAGAAAGATAAAAAGATTATTTTAAATGGTAAACAAGAGAAGCAATCTTGTAGAAGTAAGAGAGAAGAAAAGAATAACGAAGCATACATTAATGCAACTAATATGAATACATTCATAAATGATTTCGTCAATTTTCGTTTAAAACGAAATTCATCTTGTTCTCTTTCTCGTAGAGAAGAGTCCAGTAGAAATAAATTGTCTACAAGGTCAAAAAAACATCGAAAACTGATTTTTCACGGATTTCGATTGTTTTTCCAGTAAATGTGAAGAGGATGCATTTCTACGAGAAAGAACTAAGCGAGTCCTCGGACCAGCGTTAATTGTGGATAATAACTTTCTTTTAAAATTACTTGAAATATGTCGTATATCAATATATCAATTAAATCTATTATGTTAATTCTAATTGATTTACGCACAATGAATATTTATTCTAGTTGATCAAATGTATAAAAACGAACACGAAATGTCATCATTTTCGAACAGTTTCTTGTCTTTGCTTTCTCTCGCGCTTGTCTAACATATCAATGAACTATATATCGATAAATTAATTTCTATTTCAGAGGCGTCTATATGAATATGCGTTGCATGCTGTTTATTCTACATTACATGTTATTGAACCAGGAGCAACAAGGGATCAACTTGCTGATCACATAGCGAAAGTATATTTATCTACATAGGATTAAATTCGATGAAAAAAATTTCTTTTCTATTGATAGCTGTTTAATATTGATCCAGAAGAACATGAAACGAAATATAAGCGAACTCTTAAGGCACAAGTAAAGTTTTATGGAAAGAAAAAAAAGACATTTTTATCATATTGAATGTTTTAGGCATGTTCTGTTACGTTATTTGTTGATGTTAAAAAGGCACGTGATTTACTTGGTGAAGATGAAAATGGTTTGCTAGAATAAATCTATTGTTTTTCGTTCTATTCAACAGATTTATTTTTTTCGTTGTAAAAGGTCTTAGTGATCCTTATTGTAAAGTAAGCGTTGTTTCCGTTCCAAACAAGTCAGAGAATCTCAATGATATGACAACAGCTACATCTTATTTATCATCTCCAGACTCACCTATTCCAATAAAAAGAAGTCGATCGTTTTTCTCTTGTATTGCACCACGTATGTCAATAGAATATATTCTTTAAGTAGAAGAAAATCTTTCTATTTCATTTTATTTTAGCATCAAGACCTAAATCAAAATCATCCACAGGAGTAAATAAACAACGAAAGAGTCGGAAAACTTCGAAAGATCATACATCAGCAATATCAACAGAGAGAAGGAAAACATTGCCTAAACTTATTTTTCGTACTGATGTTCGTCCTAAAACAATTAATCCAGAATGGAATGAACATTTTGAATTGTAAATCGATTATATCTACATTGTAGAGATGTGTGAGATCAAATATATATTGAATTCCGGTTAGTGTGATCTGAGCGCACTACCGATCTTCGTTTCGATTATGAGAACTTATTCAGCTTTTTAGTCATCTACCTTAGTAAAATATTACTTGAGTAGTTCTGGTCTTACACATCTCAACTAATATTAACAAATCTTATCTATTAATGATGTATGAAATATAATTTTCATCTATTTAGTGAAATAGAAAATGTTTATACACAAGAACTACTTATAAGTGTATTTGATTCTGATCGTGGTCAAATACCAGGAATGAAAACACTTGTTAAAGAAAAACGAGGTGTTACAAAGTTAGTCAAGTTTTTTCTAGAAATATATTTATCTATTATAAATAATTTTATGATATTCTATTAGAAAAATTCGTGGTATGAGAACTCTATTCGCAACAGGGCAACTTGACGATGATTTTCTCGGACAAGTTATGGTTGATATAAAAGTTAGTATTTTAATATATTCTGTCTTTAATTATGTAAATAAAATTTATTTCTAGTCTTTAGCTACATCTGATCATGAAAAATGGTATCCTTTAACAGGAATGAATCAAACACATGCAAATAATAATAAATCAAGAGGCGAAATTTTACTCGGATTAAAAGTTCATTTTAAATTGGCAAGTAAAATGAGAAAAAAAAATTATTTTTCAACATTACCGTATAAATAATTTTACAAATGATCAAAAAGGAAAGCTTGTCTCCTTCTTCTTCTTCTCTTTTTAAAGGTTATCAAAATCTGCTCTTAATGCTTTTCCTTAAAATAGAGAATGTTTGTTTTTTTTATCGATATTCCTCTTTTTTTTAAGGATGAGAAAAATTCTAAAGGTCGCCATTGGGTAACAAACGAAAATGTTTTACAATTTCATCGTCGTCATTCAACATTATCATCTGCTGGTCAAACACCTACATCGATTATCCTACGTTCAAATATTTTTCGAAAAAATTTTCGTCCAGCATCATTACAAGTTCGTGATTATACACGAACAAGTAGTAAGAAGAAATCTTTTCTATAGAAAATAAACTTATGAAAAAATAAAAAAATTTAGTTTTTGAAAATGATGACCCAGCGGCACATTCTAATTCAGGTGATTCAATATTAACACTAGCTACTGATTCAGATTTACCATTATTAATCGAAGAATATCATCAATTATTTCGAATCATTATATTACATCAATTAGAAGATACAAGAGAATTAGTAAAAACAATTTTTTTTGTCTTTCTAAGAAGTTAGATCTGTTTATCTTTTTTAGAATAAGGATAATTTCAATGGATTATTTATTGATTGGGATGGTGGAATAAATGAATTATCTTCTAGTGTTCTTCTACAATTTCGTGTCCTGTATAATATTTCAGTTTTATCTCAATCTTTTATGTAAATATAAATAATAACCAGAATTCATATTTTCATTGTAAACATTTGTATGTATAGACAATTACTTGTTATTTTGGAACTTCGATGTTCAGAAGATTATGCATTATTTATTAGTCAAGCTGTTATTGAAGCTTATTTTACAATATTTATGGGTTTAGTAAAAGAACGAACAAATGCTAATGATCTCGATTTTACTGATTATGAAGTAAAATTTTTATTATAATTAAGAAAAATCTTGTATTTATTTTTCTAGAAAACAATGTTTAAAGAAATTTTTTATTTATTTATTGGTCATTATAAACAACGTGTGCATAATGATAAATCATGGTTTCCACCATCAAAAGAAAGTTTACCAAATATTCAAAGTGTATTTGAGTAAGTTTAGATTTGATTTACATAAATAAATGAAGCAAAAACATCAATCATTTCGAAAAAAGTACATTTTTCATAATTTACATGTCATACACAATAGTACTTTTTCTAGTTAAAGTCAAATTAATTCTTCGATATACGTTAACAGCGATAGTAGATTAATCTAGATTATCGAATAAAGATTGTGGAGATCACTCCGGCTCGTGACTAGAGATGTGCGGGACCAGAAAAAATCCAAACTCACAGGGACCAGGATCGGGACTGAAAAATTAAACTGTACCGAGACCGAAGCCGCGACCGGGATTAAAAGGAAAGCTTTACCGGGACCGAAAAACATTTACCAGGACCGAGACCGAGGCCTAATAAAAAAATTTTACTGGGACTATTGCCGGGACCGGGACCTAAAAAGGTTGTTCCCGCATATCTCTACTCGTGACAGTTCTGATGATAATTTCAAATATGATATCTATTTTCTTTTATACTATAAATCACTAGGCAATCATTAAAACCCGTTTATTTAAATAATGAAATTTTTTAGCATACTTCGTATTTTACTAAAATTAAATATTTGTTCAAACGAAGCAGTAATGATAGAACATCTCGGAGACACAATACGACTTCGTTTACAAAATGATATTAATGATTCATTTGATCTACATACATTTGTAGTTAATGAAAAAAATGAAATACAATTACATACTGCTCGAGATTTTCTTGATTATGTTAAAAAATTAGCTGAATCAATGTCACTTATACCGGAATATGATGAAATCTGTACAAAATATAATGCAAATTATATTAAAATATGTTTTTTTGGAAGCAATAGTGCAGGTGATCGTGTAAGATTAGATTTTGTTTGTTTTTTGTAAAAAAAAGTGAATTTATTTTTATATTTATAGTTAGCAGAATTGACAAAATGTTTATTAAAAAATATGATAGATTCTTTTCAAACATATTCTAAACCAGTAGTAAAAGCAACATCATCTATATATGATCCAAACTTAATTCAAAATTCAACTGTACTTTTAAATTTATATTTATATTTACAAACAATTGTTACAGCATTAAGAAATAATCATACAGAACAGTAACATTTATTTATTTTTTTATTGATAAATATTATTTTCTTATTGAATAGAGATTGGGTTACAAATGCATTTAAATTAAAATTAATTGAATATCGTCAATGGTTTTCACCAACAATGAAATTTTTATTAGAAGGTTTTGTTGCAAATATTAGACAAGCAATGGAAAGAGCTGTAGAAGATGATAGTGAAGTAAGCTAAAAAAACATCTAGTATTTATCTTGAGGATGGGTGTGGGAATGTAAATATAGACGGATCTATGAGCTGGGACGCAATCAATTTACCGAAAATAACTTTGCCGACATATCACTTTACCGACGCCACCCTGCCGAAAGGATGGGTGTGGGTGTGAGTGTGCTCTGTTTCAGATATTCCCGCATTCTCACCCTCAAATTTTTGTCGGCATAGAATAACTTTCGACAAAACAATCTTTCGGCAAAGTAGCGTTGGCATAGTGTAGCGAACCCCTGTGAGTTGGCTTGGCGGTAAATGTTTCTTCTTTTTTCAAACATTCCCACCCCATACATATCTTCAAGATCGAAACAAAGCATTGAACTTATATCAAAATCTATTATCTCTTTTTAAGCTTATTCCTGATGAAAATATTATTCTTTATTCTCAATCATCTATGGCAGCTACTAGTTTATGTATAAAAGTATATTAATACTTAATATTCTATTTAAAATAAATTGTCTTAATTAAATTAATTTTTTTAGCTTTGTCGAGAATGGGAATCAATTGATTATCCTGATATTAATGTACGTTATACAGCACTTATTAAATTAACAAATACGATATGTGAACAATGTCAACATTATGCAAGACGTACAGCACGTAAATTATCTGAAAATGCTTATTTTACTGATTTAACACGTACACGATCGTTTAATGTTACAAAAAAAGTTTGTGAAAACGAATTTTTATATTTTTATTTCAATTTATCTATTGAAAATTTTAGTTATGTATGTTAGTTAATGATATAGAATATGTTAAACGAAATGTACTTTCATCATTACCAAATTTATTAAATTTTTCAACTGTTATTGATAAAATGATTGAAAATTATGGATCAGATGATTTTAGTCAAACAAAAGTTACACTTGAAAGATTAATTTCTACAGCTGCACATGAAATGACTGATGTTATTAAATCTATATTAGAACATGTAGCTCTATCAGTTCATGAATCTTTAAAAGCAAAAATTACGAATTATTATCGTGATGAAAAAGCAGGAAAAGTTGATGTAAGGAATAAATATAAATCAAAAATTCATTTTTTGTAAAATAATAAATATTTTAGTGTATGAAAGATGTTAATCGATATATTGATCAAGAAATTCTTCATCAATTATATAAAGGTCTTGAACCTGTTCAATATTCTCGTGTTGCTTGTGCTATACGTATAAAAACATTACAATGTTTACGTATATTATTACCACCACAAGAACCACCAACATTCTATCAACGAGTTATAGAATCATTTGATCATTTAGCTGCATATTTCGAAGCTGTTTGTCGTGAAGATCCACAATTACCTGGTCCACCATGTGATGAAATAACAACATTTCGACGTTCACTTCAAACAGGTGCATTAACAACTGAGCAATTACAATTAGCGTATTTTAAAGAAATATGTCAAGTACATTCTCCTGTAGATATTCTTTTTTTTTCTAATGTTCAAAAAATCAATTCAATGAATTCGATTTATTTTTTCTAGTATGAATATCCAACAAATAATGGTGAAATTGTTTTTCGTACTGCACATGAAATAGTCAATGGTCTAGTTACCATTCATTGCTTTAGTATGTCAATTTTCAAAACAAAAAAAACACATTGAAATATATTTGATTTTCATATAGTTCTTTCTTGTCGAAATTTACCGAGAATGGATCTTATTGGCACATCAGATCCTTATGTTATTCTTGAATTATTACCATACTCATTGTATCATAAACCCCAAAAAGAATACAAAACAAGTACACAAAAACGAACACTTGAGCCTGAGTTTAATGAATTATTTCAATGGTAACTATATTCATAATATAAAACTTTGTTTTGATTATTTTTCTTCTCAAGGCATCGTCTTCCATTAAATGTTTTGAAAGAACGTGGTGCTGTTTTACGTATAAGTGTTTGGGATGAAGATTATGTTAATGATGATTTTATTGGTGAATGTTTTGTACCATTAGTTAATATTGAACCATTAAAAAATCTTGCTTCATTACGTGATGTTCCTGTATCAGAAGTACGATTAAGGCGGCCACTTAAAAATATGCAACCACGAACATTTGATGTAAGATTTTCTATTTATTGAATTAAAATAAATCTTTTTTGTATAGTTAATTCGAAATCGTGCAGCATTTGATGAACAAGCTGCTGTTTTTCTTAAACAGCGTACGGCTGTTATGCAATCAGGTAATGGAAGTGATGTTGCATCTGCTATAAGTGATGATAGAAAATCATCAGCTTCATATACTAGCGCAGCACTTCGTTCACTACTTTGCATGTTTCCATTTCATATTGGTTTTGGTACTAATACAACTCCTACTCATGAACGATCAGATGCTGCTGATGATGAGGAACTAATTTAACTTATTCATTTATTTTAGTTTTTCTTTTGATGCTTATTTTTTTAAAACAAATTGCATGTTTATCAACAAAAGTCAATATAAATTATACGTCAGATAAAATAAATATATATGATTTCTTCAGATTCTAATCGTCGTCATCATGCGAATCAGATGTATAAATCAGATGCATCATTAAATACTTCAATATATTCGGATAGTAATTATAATAGTTTAAACTATCGATTTTGGAATATACTCAACTGGAAAGGAACTGGTACTGATGAAGCTTCAGTGGATAATGCAGATGAATTTGGTTCGACTTAATGATAAGAATTTCTTTGTATTGTTATTTACATGTAAATTTCATGTAAAATATACAGTAGTTTTTAATCTACAAATGATAAAACTAAAAACAAATCAAAACAAAAAAGTAGTTCAATTTATGTTTTTGATCTAGAATCTTTGATGCGATATATGAGTGTGTTTTGGACAGTTTACATTAAAATATTATGACATGTTTATGGCGGAGTAGATTAAAATGTACTCGATAGTTTAATCAAGTAAGTTCGTCGTTGAAGACTCTGACATACTTATTTGAATTACTGGAAATAAAAAATAAAATATACATTTTAAATTGCTGTTTTCTATCAGTAATTATTGTTAAATTTCAACGAAGTATTACTTTAATATTTGATAAAATTCTGAAAATAGTTATTCGTATTTTTTCTTATGATGTCATCATTTACTTTAATAGTTCTTCATTATAAAACACTGATTTACTTCCTTGTTGACATTATGTCAATCAAAAAAATATAAAATTGAATGCGAAACATTATAATATTTATCAGCTGTACGCAATTGAATATAAAAAATTACAAAACAAAATGCTTTAATATTACACAATAACTTGATTCATATGAATACCTATAGCTGTGCTATTTACAATCACTCATGAAATAGAAAAGAACTTCATTGAATAGAGCATGCTGTGTATTCAAATCAATTATATATATTCATAAATACTATTAAACCAAATAAACATTTTCTTTTATGAAAAGATCAATGAATATAATATTTTATTATCAAAGCAAAAGTCTTTTACAGTATTAGCTGGTTTAAGATACAGTCATATAGAGTATATGTTATTTCTGTACAACGAACTATTAGTTCGATCGTACAGAAAATCTTTATTTTATTTGCTTTAAATGTACTTTAAACAGGCCATGTGTTTGATAATACTTCATCAAAATGCGTTATATTTTTACGAAATTGTAGAAGATGAAGTAACAGCATGAGATTAGAAAAGAAATTTTTTGTTTTCATAAGACAAAGTATAAGTAAATATTTCTGCTTGTGCCAGAAGCAGGTTTTGTTGTGTTATTTCTATAGAAAAGCAAAAAATTCTATTTTCATTGGCTTCTTCGTAAAATTATGGTGAATTTTGTCAGAAACATTACCTAGTCGATGTATAAATACTCTCACTCATCAGCAGAACACAGTCACTAACAATTACGACAAAAAATCTATCGTTATAACAGTAATCATGAATAAAACTATATTTTTAGTAAGTAATACAAAATAAAAGAAGTATTAAAATTTGAAAATTTATTTTAGTTATGTCTTATGGTAAGCATTGGTTCTGCATCGATTATTTCCAGTGCGTTGGCATCATTAAAAGCAGATGCTATTACAAAAATTTGTACTGTTGCTCCAACTTCAAATTATACAAAACAAATTACACTTGCTGTGCTGAAAGATTTGGCAACTGTATTTACTAAAGGTATTGATGGTAAAACATTTCCAAATTCAGCTGCCTATCTTTCAAGTGCGGCAAGCAATTTTGTGGCTGGTACAACACAATGTCAAAATGCTTTTACAGTCTTACAGACCGCCTTTGCAGCTGATTGTAAAGCAAATTCAATAACACTTAACAATGCCAAACAAGATCTTATAAATTTTATCGCAAAAAACGTGCCAGGATTTTCAAATCTTACCATTTAAATTCCGCTCATCAAATATATAAGAGACTATAATTACTTATTTTTTCATGTAGTTAGCTTTTGTGTCTCTAAATTATGATTGTCAAAATATTTTCTTCTAAAATAAAATTCATCCAAGCTATTGAATACAACCCAATAAACATAGTTTTATTATCATCTTATAAAGCATGTGTATAATAAATTCAAAGAATTTAATAATATATTCTTATGCAGTTATTTACCAAGTTTGATGAAATAAAGATATGTATGTATAATTTAGTGCACTGATTTTATCATATAAGATATTTAGCAATGAAATTAATAATCTTTTTACAATCATTTAGGTAACATTTTATTTGACTTTCTTTTAGATTAATGGAATAAACTTTCTTCGATTTTAGTTAAATATATTGAAATAAATAATGATTGTATTGATGAAAAAATAATATAGAAAAGGTTTCTATTATTACGCATTTACTATTAAGATACATGTGCGTCGAATAAATTTACAATGAATGTGCCCAAACTATAAATTACTTCTAGTTAAGAATTTAACATTCATGATCATCATTTTAAACCAATTTCAAATTAAAATGAATAAACATATGAAATTCTCTTATTTGCGATAACAAACAGGCTACAAATCATTGTCTAATTACTTATAGATGAAGATAGTAATACGTAGAGCATACAGTAAAAATATTGTGCAATCACATGGAAAAAATAGATTATATTAATATAAAATGAAAAAAACAAATATAGGCAAAACCCTTAATAACGTTACATAAAATATTGCTTTTATTTATAAAATATGTAATCACTCAAGTATAAAGTGCATCATCCTTTTTGCGATTAATATTTCATTCTTTGTCTCGTTCTTTGCTGTTTAATGTTTGTCGATGCATTGATATAGATAAATGATCAATATGATTCGATACGATGAGTTACATCAGCTATACATAGACAATGTTTTTTTTATCCACCAAACAGTCACGTCAATCGATAAACTTGAATATACTGTGTATTTATTCCCTTCATTTTCTCCTCTATTTTAATGTTTATTATTTGATTATTAATTTAGTAGTCATTTTCATGAAGTATCCATTCTAAAATTACTATCATTCATTAGAAATATTTCCAGATATGTCTATTCTATTCTGAATTATTAACTCTAATAGTATAACTATAAATAACCTTGTAGCGTTTAAATATCATTGATTTTGTTTTATTGTATAGAAATTTCATTAGAATAGTTAAGAATAAAAATACAGTTGATATCATCTTCTACTTTCTTTACTGTTCGTTCGTCAGATTTTTCCTAAATACACATGTTATTTCGTATGAGAATATAAGTAAATGCTGATGAAGAGCAAACTATTCTTGAATATCTACATATTTCGATATGTAATGATTAAATAAATATGATCTATAAAGTTAATATACGATTTGTATCTATGAAAATATATGACGAATATATTTACATGTGAACGCAAATATAACACTTATGCATAATACATGCTTACACACATTTGGGTTTTTGATATTTAGGTGGAAAAACCAAAATTGATATAATTTACACTTATATAAGACAAAAATCATTCATTGTCAAGGTTATGATATAAATATTCGATAATCTTTCTTCGCTAATATATGATTCATAATCCGATGTGTATGTTTTTCTTTCTTCAATGTGTGTAATTAAGCGTGACTATACATCAATATAAAGAAAAAGAAAAATGCAATATACCTCCTTTGTATTATACTCATACAACTATATTTGTTGAATAAATAAGATAGATTAATAAACATAAAACTATTTTGATTTAAATAATTTTGTTTTAAAACATATTGCAAAAAATCTAAATTAATTGATTATTGTAGTATTCATTTGTCGGCGTTTATCTCAAGTTGTAAGTATATAGAGATATCGTAAATATGTCTCGATTTATTGGCGAACAAGTACGACGTGTTAAACAGGTATTATTTTAATAGATACTTGAAGACTTATATAAGTCAAAAATATATGGATAATATTTTAGACGATTGAAAAATTACATATTCAACCGTCGGATGATAGTCCGTAAGTGATTATTTTATTTATTTATTTATATATATAAATCTACTATTATATTTTTAATTAAAGTGAGAATACATTAACTCGAGATTATGGTTTTCTCAAATTCAATGAACAAGAAATAGATTCAACTACACGTCTTTCACAATATATTCGTTTAGCTCTTAACACAGATCCCGGAACAGTCATTCAATTTATGAAAAAAGCTTGGAATTTACGTACACCTGATTTAATTATTTCAATAACTGGTGGTGCTAAACATTGTGAACTTGCAGCACGACTTAAAAAAAATTTTCAAATTGGTTTAGTTTCTGCTGCTGCAACTACAAGTAAATCTTAATGTATATTCTATTTTTCACAAAAATAATCCTATTATAAATTCTTTTATAGATGCATGGATAATTACTGCTGGAACAAATGCTGGTGTTGTTCAAGAAGTTGGTGAAGCACTTAATAATTATCGTTATAAAAATCAAAAAGATGGTGTTGATATACCTTGTATTGGCATTGGTAGTTGGGGTTATACAGCAAGAAATGAACTACTTGATCATGCTTCAGGTTTAATGGATGGAAATAATAAAACTGATATAGATGAACCATATAGTCCATCAAAAAAAGTTCATTTCAATTTTGGTATTGATGCTCTTCAAATGGTTGGAGAATCAGTATACGGAATAAAAACATATATAGTTCCGCAAAAACAAGAAAAAAGATGTGAATTAGAATCAAATCATACACATTTTTTATTATTTGATGATGGTCTAGTTAAACCTGAAAATGTTCTTCCATTACGAGCTGATATAGAAGTGAATTTAAGACGTTTAAATATTGAACAAACAATAGAAGGTGCTGTACATACACTTATACCTATTGTTATGGTTTTAGTAGAAGGTGGTCGATCATCAATTAAAACTGTATGTGAAGCACTTGATGCAAATACTCCAGTTGTCGTTGTTAAAGTAAGAACAATAAAACCAAATAAAAAAAAAGAAATATTCAGTTTTAATAATATCTAAGGGATCTGGTCGTGCTGCTGATCTTGTAGCTGAGTTACACATATGTTATTCTAAAATTTTTAACGATTCTAACGTGGATAATGATAATGATAATGATCATAAATCTACACATCAAACAGGTTTTGTAGCAGCTAGTTTACGTTTAACTGAAATTAATTCTATGTAAGTTTATTTGAGAATAAAAAAAGACTAAAATATAATTAACAACTTAGATTTGCAAAAGCAAAATTACATAATACATGGATCGATACTATT